AAAAAATATCACGTTTTCATAAATGCACGTGATTCAGAAATGTCAAAATCTGCTGAGTAAAAAATAGAGTGAGTAACAAAGAACTGATTGTTCTAATTAAATATAACCTAAAATGCCTCTAAAAATTCTAAATCAATATTTCTACTACTAGATACTTGAATTTATTACAGCAATAAATAAAACCGATTAACTAAAGTTCAAATATAAGCGGTAGGTAGAAATAAATAAAAACTTATAACTTAATTCTTGAAAAAAGAGGGGCCATAAATTATTCTTGTTAAGAGAGAAGACCAAAAAACGCTGTAACAACAAAACTTACTTTTCGAGGCTTTCGTATCGTGAAGGTGACGTCTTTTATCCGATGACTCGCGATCATTGCTGTCATCGCTATAATTTCGACTGTCTTCTCTCGGATATCGTCTGCGAGTTTCTATTTCCTTACGACCTTAATTTATTTGCAAGAAAACAAGTAAAGATGCGTTGAGAAATTTTCGCAACCAGTTCTTAGCAAAGAAGTCATGTAAAAGATCAAAAAATCAAACTCACTTCTCCGTTCATGAGCTCGATATACTTTGTCAGGTGACCTGTGCTTCATATGCGAGCTTTTAACTTTCTCTTCTTTACCTCGAACTTTTTCTCTCGGCATCTGAAATAGTTTAGCGTTTCTTTTCATCATATTGCATGGTTCTGCAATTTCTCATCTCTCACATCACTCAGCTTCTCATTGGCCTCCGAGCTACTTCTGTGACTTTCGTTGGATTATTACAAATACTTAAGTACTTCTAGAGGAAAATTCACAACTAGTGTTGGGACTGCTGAATAAATTAAGTAGCGACAACGGAATACGCATATGAACAAACAGAGAAAGTGACTAATAATCTAAACCACAACGCAACGACATACAGAATGCTTTGGATTTTAAACTGTCGAAGAATCCAAAACAAAATTATGGATGAACTTTGCTAGCCATCACACTCATACCGTAATTCCAATGAACCAATTCTTGTCAAACACTTCAAAAATCTTTGCCCGCGAACAATGATGGCGTCCTTTTCTGACACGGTATGACATAAATTTTAATTATTTCTGAGATGAAATTAATGCGTCAGCGCCAAGAACAGACACTTATGTCTATAAGAACCGAATTGAGAGCGCGTTCCACTCGAAAACTTACTACCCCTCATTTATGGGACTATAAGACAACTGAATATTGATATTCAAAAAGATAATATTAAATACCCTTCACAATTATTTTCGTGAACCTCTCCCGTTTGCATTTTTCATTTATGAACAGATTTTAACTCTTCTTTAGTGTAATGAAAGGAAAATGAATGTAGCATAAAGGTTTTATGTGCTATACAAATGGATTTTTCTCCAAATTAAAAATTAGGCCAATAACAATAGACGATAAGAATCATGACAATATGAAAAACAATTGGAATCAACATGACTATCAAAACATAAGTTTCGAATTTAGCTGTTTACATGACTTGCTGACTTAAAGTCCGGTCTCAAAAAGATGCTTTTTAATATACAAAACAGAGTCACCAATCGGTCACATCCAGTTCATCTATACTCCAGTCTTCAAATGAACCATCAGGAAGATACCTACAACAAAGAAATACTGAAAAAGAATAAAATTTTCAGTTACTGATACAAATGAATAGCCCTCACCAATTCCATAATTGCAACTAATGTTTTCCGAAACATTAAGACTCAGAAATGTGAAAGTAAAACGAAGTGCGATTCTCCTTCACAATTTTTCTTATTTTACCAACATAAAGTTCCACACTCATTAATACACCTTTGATTGCAATACTGAATAAAAGTTAGAACTATCATCCTTAAGCTATATGAAAGTATTTCAACTAAAAATAAAACACACCTTCTTACAATCAACGGTATCTTCTGATGCTTTAGCTCTTTGCGTGCGATCTCCAATGGATCTGTTTCACCTTCCAATTCCACCATAACTGGGGCACCCATGGCAATTTGAAGTGCTCTGGTACCTAGAATCCGAGCTCGTTCATACTTCGTCATAAATGGAGTTGTGACACGATCTGCAGATGGCGTTTTCCCTTCTCCCTCATAAAATGAAACTGATGATTTACAATAATTAAGTTATGTGACAAAAAAATCTTGTAATGAACACTAAATAATTTATATGAAAGGTTTCAAAAACCAACACTGCAATTTTTAACTGACAATATAAATAAATAATATTTTACAATTAAATCACAATTAAAATAGTTTTACGATCAAAACCATCTGTGCCTCATCGGAAAACTGACTGATATAACAAGTAATGGTACATTATCTAATTGTATCATAATATAGCTACTGATAATTTCAACATTTTCCTTTGAAAACTCTTCGAAGTTTTTCACAGTTCTTACATTATGCATGGAGCTTCAGTCACATAGAATAACATGGTGAATAAATCAAAAACAGTTAAGATTGCCAAATGGAATTGCCAGCTTTTCACACAAAAACATCTGACAGCCCTCACGTTTTTCACATTTCTAAAAACTTCTCAAGTACCCCATCCCTACTCGCAAAAATCATATCAATTCTTTGATACAGAGATCAGACATCAATCCATCAAGTAACCTAGTCTACAAATTAATTCGCACATCACTGTTCATGCGTACATTTAGAACACTTGCCAGAAAACTATTAATCACAGTTAAATTAAGTACTTGGAAGTCAAAAATACCTCCAAAACTTGCATTCTTTCAACATCATCATCCGCAGGTTCCAACTCCAAGTCATCCATCTGATCATCATCACCGTAATCATCAGCATCCATTTCAATTTCGTAATCCTCATCATCAGCCATTCTTGTCTTCTCGTAATTTAGCGATAAAATGCAAGAAAATTTCTCTAAAAATATTTACCATTTTTTGCTAATCGCAACTAAAAATTTTTTATCTTATGTGAAATGCATCGTATCACTGCTACAAATTACAGTCTTCGCAGATTCTTATCAAAGATTAAGTTTCTTGAAATCTTGCATAAAATTATTTATGGCAAGTTATGGGAATCAAAATTAAGTTATAAACGCCAAAATATGACAAATAAATGCTAGGAATCAAAAGATTGGTACCAAGATATGTCAGGAATTAGTCAAGTGACTTGCTGCCATTGGGAAATGTCCCTAAGCTTCTCTAAATCTCTCCATTATCGACAAGTCTTTTACTTCTCGATAATTGAGTGATTTATAAATAGGTTAGGAATCGAATAGCAACTTTATTTTTAACAAAAATTTCTAAAATAAGATATGCAAATTTTTAGCACTGCTAAGGAGGCTTTATAAGAAGTGACTAGGTTGTGTTGATATCTAATCTTGGGTTTATCTTCAGTAGTAGATAGTATTTTCAATAAACCGTATTACTTCTGTCTCGCAGAATGGTTCGCACAAAGCAGACGGCGAAAAAGTCTTTGCCACCATCTGAAAGATTGACAAGACTCCGAGCAAAACGAGACCTAATTAGTGATAATAAACATAAGATGCATCGTATTGCTGGTGGAATAGTTGCGAAACGGCGTTACAAACCAGGTAGATTTTAAATTTTGCTATTATGGGCGCTTGTTCTTGGACTTGTTTCATCTCTAGATTTATATATATAGTATTAGCTTATGCAAATATTTTTTTTATTTAAGGAATGCGTGCTTTAAAAGAAATACGACATTTGCAAAGAACAACAAATTTACTGATAGCTCGTGCACCTTTCCAGCGTTTGGTGCGAGAAATTGCAGTCAGTATGTCGGAAAAAAATAAAGAATTGCGTTTTCAGTCCATTGCAATCACGACATTGCAAGCATGTAGTTTAGATAAAAAATTATAATTATCTTTGGTTTTATTTTCTGGTTATTTGTCTGCAAAAGAAAGTTTGGAAATTAAAATAGAGTATTTATTTACGAAATCTGACGTGAACAGTGTCTGTGTATCATTTTCTCACTTTCCTTATTATATGAAAAATGTATTTGTTAACAACAAAAGTCGGTCTCGTAATTTTTGACTACTTGTATTATAGGAAGCCGCAGAAGTGTATCTAACATGTTTATTCGAAGACGCCAATTTGGCGGCAATTCATGGGAAGCGCGTTACTGTTTTTCCTAAAGACATCCAATTTGTTCGTCGTCTTCGAGGTGAAACTGTTCGATATGGCTGCTGATTAGATTGCGTTTTGTTTATTGATTTTCAAATTTTGATATGAAATTGAAACGATTTTTTTGAAATATCAATGTTTTGTGGTGTTAAAGTTTTATTATTTTCTATTTGTTACCTTTGGAAGTTTTATGAGTTTTATTTTAGAGAAGTCAGTGTCAAATCTGATTCAGTTTTTGATGTCACGTATTGTGAAGTCTTTTATTATAATGTTCCTCCTACTTTTTTTAAGTACTTACTTTAGATGATCTTTTTATTTCAATTTTAGAAATAAGAGTTCGGAAGCTTCGAATAATTTTTTCATCTGATTATGTTTATGAAGATAGCGGACCTTAACAATTATGTTTATTCATGTTTTAATATTTATTTTTTATGATGTGATTGTTTTACAAGACTGCAGTTAATTTCCACTCTTCTATCCTGTAAATAAAGACTTCACTTCTTCTGTTCAGTACAACAATGAAGGATTTTACAAAAACCAATCATTATAATCAGAACTGTGTGAGATTAATTATGTTTGATATGCATGGTTGCGTGACATGTGGTCATTTATGTCGGATATCATTTTCTGATTGAGACCATGTCTGACTTCCGCTAAACCATTAAATCTAACGTATTTATCAGTTGAGGGATTCACAAGAAGTCAGTCAACAAAGTGGATAAGTATTATGATATTTTCTCCGTTTAGAAATATACCACTTCTGTCTGCTTATGTGGGGTAATTGTGAGAGATTGGCTAGATAAATGCATTGATTCAGATTTCAACCCAAAAGTAATTCTTTTCTAAGCAGTAAGATCACTCTAATTAATAGAAGTTGAAGGAGGACTGCTGAAGGAATACGACTTGTTTATATTCATGTAGTTTCGTATTTACTTTTACTTCGTTTTAAATTAATCAAATTTTTTACTTATATTTATCTCACAAATTTGAGAATTTTGTTGCTCATTTTAAAACACTTATCTTAAAGTAATATTTACGTGAAAGTAATACTTACTTGAACAAAAAATATGACATGGATAGCTTTTAATAACAATTGCATTTGTACTTCTGTATTTAATTAATGTGTCCTTCTGTATCAGGAGAAGTTGTCTTAGCAAAGAAACATTGGACTGGCTAATTAAGTAGATAAAATGATTAAGTATATTGTACAATAAAAAGTATTCTCTTCATTCTTGACTTTTATTTTTGTTGAAGTTGAAATTAAATAAGGAAATGAATCGGAAAAAATTTATATTCGCAAATAAACAGCATTGACAACACTGGACTGAATTCCTCAATTTATGGGCCGATAACGAGTTTAGTGAATTTTTATGATTAAAAAACAAACTACTTGACATAATTCAATGATACACGTCTGTGGAAGAATTGTGTGACTGAATTGCCCCAAGAACGTTTGCATTATAAAGCCACTTACTACTTAAACGATCAAGAGATTGACTGCGAGTGCAAAGATAGAATGAATGACATTTGTGAAACTTAAGAGTGAGAACAAGATATATTAATGGAATTAAGATCGGATATGAATGGAATTAAGATGTAAGATGACTGATAATTCAATTCAATTTTAACTATTTGGTTACGTTTGCTTAATAATAATACTGCAAACGTGGTTGGTGTATCAGTGAAAAAATCTAAATAGCATATCGTATATCGCAAGTAAAGAAGAATGTCAAGCACACGTAAGTGCTGAGTACAGAACAAAAATATGACTACTGGAGTACTTGAAAAACATAAAGCACTTGAGGCAACTTTACTTTCAGTGGTCATTTTCTGCTAGCAATAATACGAATTACATCAAGTATCCTCATAGCTATTATTTGAACTTTCACTTTACATTCTAAATCAATTCTGCTAAAGTTGATTTGATAAGATCACTATATATTTGAAGCTCTTTGTATCTGAGATTCCTTACAAAAATTTACAGTTATGTAATTAATCTTTGCATGGACTCAGCTTGTCAAATATGACAGATGTCGTCTTTCATATTTAGTACAAGTCAAGAAGTAAACAGAAATTTTAGTCTATAATTCTCTCTCACAACATATGCAAGAAAGAGAAAAAACATTATAACGTAAATTATAATTTTCGTGATTTTACAAACAACAGAAAAGCAAGAAGTACTATTGAGAAGATGAATAATGATGTGCATAAACAAGAACAGAAAACGATTTTCTATTCAATAAGACGTGATGTTTTTGACGTGATACTAAGCAAAGTAAATGAAATTTTCATATGACAGGTTTATGATCACTCACACATCAACAAGCTAACAAATGTAAAAAACGTGATGAGTCCCATCCAATCTAATTTAAATCAGTCCTATCCATTTTAGCTTAACTTTGACATTGTTATCACAGTTAAGAGTATTTAGAGTAATTAAAGCGTCAATTTGTTTAGTTCACTTAATTTGTACAATGCTTATAAGCGTGATTTAGCAACTGATATCGTAAACAAATGATTAGCAAGATAAAAAAATCGATTTAAAAATGTTGAAGTAAGCATGTAAAGAAGACAAGCTTTTTCTAACCTTCTGATATGATTTGTTCTAATTTTATGACACTTTTAATCTCACTGCTTGCTATCCGTAACACATGCAGCAGCATCTTCTGCTCAAAGTAATCGCCAATGGTCAGTCACTTCAAGGCATTCACATCAGAAGGTCAAAAAACTGCAAATATTCGAATGCAACCTTCCACAAATACATATCTCTTTCCAATGCACGTACTTGCATTCATTGATCAGACTGTCAAACACAAACAAGCGTCAATTTATGCCAAATTTTTCATACATTTACACACACTTTCAGTTACAGATTTCACCGTTCAATACACATGTCTATGATCAGTGGATCAAGCAAAGCTTATCAATTTTGATTGTAGTTATGTGATGCAAAAATTTGACTTTCACCTACTCTTTAGCTTATTTGAATTATTTCTGATGCATAGCGAGTCGTATTTACTTACTTATTGATTACTTGGGTTCATTTTCAATGGCCAGAGCTTAGGCTTACTGAAGACTTCTCTGAAGGCCTACTACTGCTAAGGCCCTGCATATATAATATAATCCCATATCGATAATCAATATTTTTCTTGAATTTTTCTTCATTTCTTAACTAACAGTTATTGCAAAATAAATTTCAGTTACAAAGTAAACTATGCATCATTTCTTAATCTGTACCACTAATACTTATATGTCAACTTAAATAAATATTCATCCATCTACACATCAACTCAATCCATCATTATGTATATATATGTATATGTATATGTATATATGTATAGGTATAGGTATATACATATACATTAACTCATTCAAACATGGCATTCACTCACATTTTAAAGAAAATTTTAACTAAGAGAAGTAGAGAGAGAGGGGAAAATAATTTAAAATTAACTGAAATAGAGAAAAAAAGGGAAAATAGATGTAGACGTAACCGCCATAGGGCGCACATTCGCTGTTTTGGTGTGTAAGATTGCTTGGTGTGTTGTGGAGCGAAACGGTTCTCTCTTCTTGTGTTCGCTAACGAAATGCTTATTATATGAGTCAGAATAAGAAGAGCTGATTTATCTACTTAACTTCTAAGCAACCATATTTGACCTTTTTCAACTCGAACTTGACCCTATCAAATTTAAATTATTCTTCTACAATTAATCATTATGAAATAATTATTGCTGTTATTTATCTAATAACATGACAATTATTGCACCGCATTGCTACTGATTAACTGATTACTTCAATTTTTCTTCATATGAATCAGTGCGTTCAATCATGTGCATATCTTCAATTATTTAATATTATTGCTGTAATAATATTTATTGAACGACTCAATTGAAGTGATTGTTTAGATCAGTAATAATAGAATAAATTATTTACAATAATGGAATTATGCGAGCTAAAATTGATAGAACAAAATTTGGAATCAGAATGGCCTGCAGATATTGATCAGCATATCGCAGAACTTGACTTTCAACGATCATCTGATGAAGAAGAAGGCGATCAGAGCTTATTATCAAGCATAGCCTTAGATCCTTCAATCATCTCTACTGATAGCCTTGATATTGAAAAATTGCATGCTCGTTGCGAAGTTTGTTTTTTCTCAATTTTATTAATTTTTCTATTAAATTAAATTGGTGGATTTTTTTTTGTCATCTTTCTAAAATATCTCATTTACTTGGTGCTTTTTTTCATGAAAAATGCAAGTAATAAAGAAAAGAGTAATACCAAAAACTACCTTTGTACCTGTGTATTTCTTTTTATGACACATTAATTTTACGAGGAATTTTTTCCCGACATTATTCTCTGCCAAATTTCATTACCAAATATGTCATTATATCCTTAAATATAGATTATATTTTTAGAGTGTATTTGTAAAAATATTTAATATTTTGTATAATATTTTAACTTGAAAATTAAAATTCTTCACTGTTTATGTTAATGTATTTTCTTTGAGTATCAAAGATACTTATTTGACTCCAACAATTTTAGCTTCTAAGTCAAATCCTTTTTTTCGTCACCTTATTATAGGACTTTTATTTGTACAATCAAAATTATTTTAATTTACGAATATTTAAATTTATTATCAACATTAACAATTAGTTGGAGGTAAATCTGATGAGCAATTAGTTTGAAGTAGAACAAATAAATCAGAAAATTCAATGCATTTTAATTTAAAGTGCAAATTAATTACCGACTTTAAAATTAAAGCTGATAGAGTGTGGAAATAGGAATCTGATGTTGATAGAACAAAAATATGAAAGTGACTTCAAGAAAAATTTTCAGCAATTAAATTTTCTCCGTAGAATCAAATCATTGTTACCCCTCATCAGGTAAACTTTACAAAATTATTTATTACTTTGCATTCCAAAGAATTTTTTGTGCAGAAAAAAGTAAGCTAAAAGCTAAAATTAAATATTTCACTTGACGTAGTTTCCAGTGGATTTGAAATTCTCTGCAAGAATTAGGTAATGTTCCTTCTTTCTACATTTTCGCATATGAGATGCATGACAATAACCAGTCATTATTCATCTCAAATAGAACTAGTTTCTAGTTTTATACATGAAATAAGGGTTAAAGAATTGTTCTCATTAATACTTAATAACACTCTGTACTAAATTATACTCATTTAAAATTCGATATTTAAATTTTACACATAAAAACAAGACAAAAAAAGTGAACTGTATTGGAGTTATGTTTTGTATTTTAGTTTTTCCGTTTATTTTATTAGGTTAGTGGTGAGACAAGCTCAAGGTTATGGTTAAGATTAACTTGCAAATTCATTTTAAATAACTGTCTTGTATTGCTGCTGCATATTTAATTCAGTCAGTTGTTGAAATTTCCGTGCACACTCAATGCAGTAAAGTTTTCCTACGTGGGCAGTGAATGCAATGCCTGCATGTTAAATTGAGTGCATTCATCTTTTTTTTCAAATATATCTAAAATAGTACTGCTAAATTAATTTATTATGCATAATAAAGAACACTATTTTGGTGTGACTTTAAATAGACGAAAAACGTGAAAGATGTGAAGGATTATTAAAAATAATTGAAAGTGTTTGTAAAAATATTAACGTTTGTAATTGTTGCATTCATTGACTGTGTGTGTAATATTTATGCTGCGAGCATTAGTCGCGCATGCCTAAATTATTTAAATAAGTTTAATAGAAATTGAGAATAAACGTGTGTTCATTCCTAGCGCACTGATTGCTTTTCTTGCAATTAATTTCCATTAGTGTTGAATTTTGACTCAATTGAATGTGATCAATTCAGATGTTTTACATAGTCAAATGCAGGGATTGTTCTGATTCATTTGTAATGAATGCAATTTTCTGTCACTTAGAAGAGTTATTATTTTTTAACTCTCATAATGCCATTATACTCTGTTCTCTAATAACGTGTATGTTATTTTGGTGTATGCTTCAGTGTAAAACTTGCTGTATTGGGTGCGATGTTGGTTTGAGTTTTTAGGTCTTACTTTTAGTTACTGTTTGTTTATAGCAGAACGATTCAATATATAATATATGTTATGTATTGAGTAGGCAATTTATAGTTTGATCTCTACTTTAAAAGTTAATCAAAAATGGAATGACAATTATGTGATAGTGAGAATGGAGATTAGTGTATATGTAATTGGATAGTATTAGTAGTTGCAGTGGTTGCAGTAGTAGTAGTGTAGTAGAAATTGAATTTGTTCACTATATTCAGTTTTACACTTACGTTAATTTGTATGTGTGTGTGTGTGCGTGCGTGTCTATGCGCGTGTGTATACTTATTACATTAGTTGAAAAATTTGAAGGCGTGTAGTAAGTGATTAGAGAGAGTAAATATTTGACATTTTAATAGTTTAAACATATGGTATAGTGAGTGAATGAAGAGGAAGGAGTAAGATGATGTGATGGCTTGCTTTTGCAGTTTGCAAATGAATTCAGTGTGAAAAATGAACAAGAATAGTTAGCGTTGGAAATTAGTAATTCATTTTTCAGCATAGAGCTGTAGTTGATAATAAATAAGTTTGTGATAATCCAGTACTTACTTACGTACTTACTTTGTATTAGGCTGTTAGCAAGTGATAAGGTAGTAGCGTCAACTTGAAGTTCTGTGCCAGCGTGCTTGCCTAGTAAATGTCTGATCTCACTGGTAGTGGTTGAATATTTTGAGTACGTACATATTTGAACATCCGCGCAACCATTTTAGCTTTTCAGTGAAGGGTAGGTTTGCTAGATCTCACTCCATTCTCAGTGCTGAGGTGAATTACTCATTAATCTTCTATGCTATTTATTGTGAACACAAGAATGAGCATAGTGCACACTTTTGATGATTGTCATACTGCTGCAATAAAGTTTTGATTCTTCACCAAATGAATTTAAAATTGAGATGGTCTGTTTATATGTGAATTGTGTACAGAACACAATGCCATGAAGTTCTGTGTGTCTGTATTTCATTTGCAGTAATACACTTCTGATGTAACTATGAGTATTATCATGAATGACTCAGTCCTGTTTTTGTGTTGGAATTGCTAGTAGGCAAGGGAAGTAGTAGCTGCAGTTTCTAGTTAGATCAGTAAACAAATATAACAAATTAGCATATAACTGAAATGAATCATAAATTCCGTAGATTGTTTAAATAGCACATTTGTTGTGAGTAGTGATCAAAAAGTATTTGAGTACTCAAATACTTCTCTTCCTGTGAATTATTTTGTATCGAGCAATTTTCTTTCCTTCTGTAGTACATTTAACTGTTATTGTTGTTGCTTTTTTCTGTTCATTATATCTCATTACTTTAGTATCTTGCTTTAACTATTACTATCCCATGCATACTTTACTTGCTCTAAGTTCACAGTCATCTTCTGCATTGCTTCATTATCCATCTGATTCCTTCCATTCATCTCTACTTTTGAAAGACTTTATTTCTCAGATTACTTCATTTTTGTATTTTAAATATCAAATTCTTGAGGAAAGAAAGTAAACTTTTTGTTCCAAGTAGATAGTAATTGAAGTAAAAAAATTATCCTTTCAATTTTTATGCAAAGAATTTTTTGCATAGAAATTTGTACAGATCAAAAAGAAATCTTGTAGTAATTGAGCACAAAACTGAGGGAGAAGAAAAGAGCAGCAAAGATTTATTCTAAAAAGACGATTTTATGAATGTCTTCTTTCATTATTATATTTTTTGCAGGTTAATAAGAATGATTACAAGTTAACATTCGAAGATAGTGGGCAATGGACTAGTGGTAATCTTACTACTTGGGGACGCATTCGAAGTACTGAACCTTTAGATGAGAAAACTAATAGTTTGCCTGAGTTAGGCGCGAATCAGAAAGCAGAAACAAGCAATCAGCAACGACCATCGAGTTTACTTGCAACTTTCGTTGAACGACAGCCTGATTATGATTATGCTGGCTTATACGTCGGTAATTTTTATTCATACTCTTTGCCATTATTTATTTCTTTATCAAACAGAATGTACGACATCAGCTTCATCTACTCACTTTAGCAACACGTTTATTTTTCTGTAGTCATTTACTTTCATGCTTTATCTTGTCATTAATGGCTGGCTATTGCAATCTTAGATCTTGATAGCAAATTAATTAGCACGCAAAAAAATGAATCTATTGGTTCTATGATCCGCCTAACATGCTTTTTTTCATCAGCAACATAAGAAAATACAAATATCATTAATGGTGAACTGTATGCTGGTGCTAAGCAGTCTCTCCTACAACAGTTTTGTTATTTAAGCTGATAATTATTTGAAAAAAGTTTAAGTCGTGTGATTCGCAACACAAGTAATGCTTGCTAATGTAGTATTACTGTTTTAATATACAGCAGTTTGAGTATAAAGTATTATTTTAAAAATAATACTTAGGCTTAGGCTTAAACCTAAACGAGTGATTTCTATTTTAAGGCAATGGACGTTATGTAGATGTTAATGACAACGAAATCGCTTATGTACCACAAAGTACGGAAGCTATACAACGGGCCGATCGCTGGCGTGCAGCTAATCGGTTGCCACCGAACCCTCCGATGAAACCTCGGCGGACATTTGCTGATTTTGAGGCTACTCGTGCACCACACCTCGACTTCATGGTCATGGATCATAATGTTAGTTTTTATTTTAAAATAACGTACGTTTTCTATCGTTTACTCTTCTTGCTTTTACTTTGATTTTGCAAATAACATTGCTCAAAATTCACTTTTTCCCTATATTAGCTTTTCTCTCACTTCTTGTAAGTTTCTCACTTATAAACTTGTATGGTCATCACATTGACCTCATAAATCAAGGTAGTTATATTTTCCTTTTCTTTTAGAATTGCTAATGATTGTGAATTTTGTCATTTTCTAAAATTACGATTGACTTCATAAATAAAATTTCTATTATGGCGCGCAATAATAAACGTGTTTTATTATAATTCTGAGAGTAGGCCATAGTATTTGTGTTCTTCAAAATTTCTGTTTCCACGTGATAAGATATGGTTATTAATTGTCACGAAGTTGAAATTGACATAATATCATACTCACATCTTATGATTTTCACAATTTTTGCACGGAACATGTATGTATGCATGCCTTTTTTAAAAATATTTATTACGGTGCAAAGTTCACTTAGCAACATATTCGATCTTTTTTTGAGTAGGTAAGCTTTTGCTATAAATATTTGTGTTCTTCAAAGTTCAGATGGAGCTGATAATTTGAAAATAGAGTCATTCATTGGATTTTATGAAAACAATTTTTGTACATATCGTATGATAAATCATTTTTATGTGAAGCATAATAATATGCAATGAATTATGTAGATGGTAAGGGAAGCGAATTTGTAATGCAAAATCATTGTTTTCTTCTGGAATTTGTTGCAGCAAATTCGGCGTACCGTAGAGGAGAATTGTTGTGCTTGTGGATGTGATTTTGTAGTGTTTGAGTTGTGTGTGAAACATTTCGATAAAAAAAGACAAAAAGGTTTGTGAATAAATTAGGTTATCAGCAAAAACAAATTCTTCTGGCATTTTTTTGTCATAAAGTGACCTTGTTGTCGAGAAAACTTCAATTATTGAAAATTATTTTAAAAATTAATTGACGTAAATTGATATTTTTAGACGTCTTTCCATTTGTGTAAAAGATTTCATGTCTTTTATAGCATATTTATTGTGTGCTAACTCTGAAATGATAGCTATGAATTCGTATGAGACAGAAGGAAAGAACTGATATGTCAGAGAATGTTTTATTTCATTTATTCAATTATTTTTGGTTTATTTTTGTTTTACAAAATATTAAAAATTATCTTATTTTTCATCACATTAAATGAGTGCGTTGGAATGTGCAATGCTTGTACAGAAAGAATACAGTAAGAAACAGTCAAAAGCAAATGCAAAACTTTCTTTGCAATCATAATTTCTACTACTAATTTTTATTACTAAATTGAATTTGTTTTCATTTATTCAGTTATTTATTCATACCTTAGTGGAAGTACTTTGTAAGTGTTTAATTATTCAAAATTGATACTGCAAACGATGAAAGTGACCAGTGTTTTAATTGTAAGAGAAGTGACCAGTATTTCTTGCTCACTTTTTTTGAAATATTTTTATGTAACTTTTTTAGTATTTGATCTTATTTGGAAATAGCACTGTATTTTTTTAATTGTTTTTTTTCTTCTTTTATAATATATAATTATTTCTTTTTATTCTTATGGTGTTTGCAAGTGCTATTCTTTCTTCATGATTTGGTTTTTCTAGAATTTTATTTATAACCTAATTGTTTTTGATTTAGCTTTTTTCCATTCAGTATTTACCTCTACATGGTTTCCGTTCTATAAATTTGAGCTTGAAAGTATATAGAACAGTAATTGTAAGAAGTATTTTGGCTGATTGTCAATTATGGAAAGTTATTTGAAGATGCCAAGTTTATGCCAGCCGTCAATATCAATGAGTGGAATCATGGATAGATTGAAAGAAGGAGTGCTCGAGGATGAAAAGTTTGATTTTTCTTTGCTAAGCGTTCTGGAAAAACGAGGGCCGGATTCTGGATTGGGTAGCAGTGCTACACTGAGTAGCGGTCCGTCACATATTGAGGATTGGCCTTCATTAGCAATCCTTTTGCCTAAGTGAGTTAGATTCAGACTTATTGGGTAGTGAGCGAAAATTGCGATAAGATAAATTAATTTTGCAATAAACTACTTCTTTTCGTGCACATAAGTGTACCATGATAAATCTTATAATCAGAAATTGATTTGTAAAAATTTAAAAAATGCTTCTTTGTTTTTTCAAGGGTTAGTTTTTCTTATACTCACGTTACATGATTTCAAGGCGATGTAAAAAGCATTTAGTTTATATAAATTTATTGCTCTTTTCAGTCGAAACTAGAATACTTACTCTGCAAAACACAAAATTCATCTGCTTGCAATTTATAAATTTTTAGGCATGTCGCTGAAGCATGTTCATTTTTCAAGGCAAACAGCCGGTTATTAATGGGTTCAAACAATATTGAACGGATAATACCACGTAGAAATGAGACATGTCGGACATGTATCAATGTTAGAAGAAGGCTTCATCCATTTGTCTGGGCACGACCTGGTTGTGCTCGATATTCCCTTTGTGACTGTACCAGTAGTGAGGTTGCTTTTTAGAGTTTTACACTTTCTGTTTTTCACTCTCCAGTTTTACATCTGATAAGATTAATACGTTTTATAATAAATATTCAAATTTATTTTTCTATTTTACCAAACTATATATTAGCGATCGTTTGCTAAAATCTTGTAAGTCACCATGTTAATTAAAGTACCATCATATATACTCTCTTAAATAGATCTTGTGAATTAGAAACCATTTCAAGCGTCATCTTACTTCATTTTAATTTCTAAACATTTGTCGATACATTAGTAGATCAGAAAATGATTCTACTTTCTATCGAATTGTTACTCAGTGTGCATAATGCTTATCAAAAAGGCCATCTTTGGTATGCGATAAAAACTTCATTTTATGGGTCACATTCTAATTCAATGTCTATAAATTGTTAGAAGTAATTCAGTTATTCTTAATTATGCGAAAGTCGGTATCATTGAATATTCCCGACTTACAGATTGTTGATCGAAATGTACCTTCTCGAGAGCAACATTTATCTCTTGGTCGACTCAGACTACGAGCTCAAGAATTAAGTATAGTTGGTTTGCCTGTTTATAATGCCAAACGGAGACTTGTTGAAAAGGTAGTTTAATCTAAGTTTCATAGGTAGAGATAGACATTAGCAGTATAAGTTATTTTCTAAATTAACATTTCTTATTACATATTACATGTTATTTTGAAGTAATAGCAAGCACCATTTGTGAGAAATATATCGTAACATTGTGATTTACATATCCATTGAGACTGACAGTATTTTCATTGAATAGAATAAATCTCTGATTTTAGGTTGTAGAAGGAGTGGCAGAAGTTGCAAGAGGTGGTTCATTAAAAAATTTATGTACCACACTACAAGCATTACTTGCTGATGGTCTGAAAATAAAACACCCATGGGATATGGTCGTCAATGTCACAGCTCCTGGTAACTGTTTTATTTTCACTTATTTATTAATATTGGCTATCTCTCGAGTATCCTTAATTTTCCAAGATAACATAGGAATGAAATGAAAACAATTTTAGGTCCAGCGACAAGCAGTGTATATGCACTCGTAAGCCAATTGAATAAGAGTGAGAAGTCTGCAGATTCCCGAATCACGACGTTTTTTATCGAATTATTGAAGCAAGTTTTTAATTACTTTGCTTCAAAAAATCAAATTTTTTAAACTTAAGTTCTGCTCTCATGTAGATTACTGATCATGGGTGATGATATATGATTTGCAGACGTATTCTTGATTTAGTTTAGCTACTGTATAATGAGCAGTTTTAATAAGTGCCGGTACAAAAATATTCTTAGATATTACAGAAGACTGGCACCTTTCTAGACTTTTTTTTCACAATTTTATAAATTTCAGATTAGGATCTATTGATTGCTGGATGTGTTATGTGGTGCTCAAAGAAAATGTATTGGAGAAGATCTACAATAAGGATGCTTTCATGCTACGAGCAAATACCTCGTATCGAAGTTTATTGTGGAGACTTTTAGAAAATTTGGAATTAATTACTTTGCTTGATCGTCGATCTGCGAGTGATCAATCATCGGAAGAGCTGCTAGAGACAGTAATACTGGTGCCATCACCTCTCGCAAGTGATTCTCGAGTACCAAAAAGCTCTTCAATGCCCGCTCGTCTTTCAAACCAAAGAATAGACACTAATTCAGCAACCCACACCCATTCGAACGATGTTCAGTTAATCCGACCGAGTCGAATCCCGTTGCTGAGTCAACGCCCTGTACGGTCAAGATTTAGCAATGCAGTTTGCAGCAGTCTTTCTCCTGGAACCTCATCGCGTGCTGATGAGGGGATGTTGCATAAAGTAAAAGTGTACAAGCGTGGAGGAAAAGCCGATACAGGTTACAATTTGGCATCAGCTATCGATGACCTTAACGAACCCGGAATGCTTGAAGTTTCTCGGGGCGAACGCCTACGCATTCTAACGAAGCGCGGACAAATGGCGCGATGCTGTCGTTTACAGCCTCGTCATGACCGAGTCTTGCAAGGCTTAGTGCCAACTTCGAATCTCGCTATTAACGGATTCTAGTCCTTTTTATAATCTTTGTATCATCGTCATAATATTATTACTACCAATACCTGAATGTTTGTAAACGTGTTCTTGTGCGTATGTCAATATGATATTCACGCCCGCAGTTTTATTCATCATTGATGAACCCCAACATCCCCACATCGCATCCTCTTGCACTTTTAAACTGCGACAACATTTCGTTCTTATATTGTTCTCATGTTTGATTCCATTTTTTCAAATGGACATTTATAAATGAAATCGTCTAACTTACTATAAAAGCATTTACACAACTTTGTACTTTTTTTTTTCATGTGTTCTGTACATTGCGGAAATAGTAATGCAAAAACGTAGTTGCCCTTTCCGATCTGCGCATTTCATATTCTTCCATTACAAATAACGTTCATATTTCGATACTCATATGAAGGATAAATGATAATTTTTTAAATTGTGTTAGCATTACGGGCCTCTCAGAGAACGAAGTTTTATTTATTTCTTACTGTTTGCTTACTCGCCATGTTCAAGACATATGAGAAAAATTATCAAACAACCAGCTGTCAAATTGAGTTTACTTCCGATTAAAAAGCAAGCTTACAACTTCGACAACAAACAGAAGTTGTTGGAACCACAGTAAACAATCGAAAACTGCAACTACGGATCTATTTTCTTAAGCAACAGAGATATTGGACCCACTGTACATGACACATGCTTCATAGGTAACTATAGTGTGAATAAAGAATATTTATGGACTGCAATGTACTCAGCTTAATGAAAAACACAAGAACTAAACGATAAACTGAAATAACATCAAACACGTTAAAATATTTTAAAGATTCAGAGGTGTAGACATATTCTGAACATTATAAAATATGGACAAATCACAAGAAGCTATAATAGTATAATATACGCAAGCGAACACCCACACAATGAGAGCAGTTCAGTAACGACGACTGTATTTGTCATAATCATATTTAACGTATTTGTCATATGACGAAATATGCCCATGAGTGTCGGGCAGACTACTGCTTGACCAATGGTCATCTGTAAAGTGTAATATCGTGAGATTATAAAGTTAAAAAAACTAAGTTTAAATTCCTGCTGATTGTATTTTAGAAGACAAACCTCTTGATGGCCAGTTATTGCTCCCTAACCCATGGTTTTGCGAACTGGACACGCTTGGTAACCATGCACCACTATCGTAATCACGTGGTCCCACGTATGTCGACGATGATCCCCCTACTGGCCAAGATGCATTCCCAACAGAGCGCGAACTGGTACCATAACCTGAACAAAGACCCATCGATAATTGTTGCAGAATATAAATAAAGAAAACTAATTCTCCATACAATAACTTGTACAATTTTTTACTATGTGACACGGACTGAAAAATATCCTTTCACCACATTTAGAGATATCGATGAGTGCGACTCTAGGTGACATAAAGCCTAATCATACATCACAAATTTTTAACAAAGAAGTTAAGAAAAGCGTTTGCATTCAGTAAATTATTTTCAAGCTTTTATATTAAGTACAAAGAACAACTATCGAAATAGCTCAGACACGATATCACCTAACACTAATATACAAAATCAAAATGGTCACAAAAGAGTCAAGAATAAAATTTGAAGTCAAAATAGCAGTAGAAAAAGAAGCAACAAAAAAAAAGAAAATTTGCAGAGTCAAAATCAGTGACGAAACAAATAAATGATAAAATTGATTGCTACTTCTTTTTGGTACATATATTCACTAATATCAAACTATTATATTAAAAAAAATTAAAACAGAGAACCGAAGAGAACTGCCTCACATTAACATCATTCTAAAAAATGAACCAACCAGAATCCTTGCTATAAGATGATCCTAAATCACGAGAGTATCCATTTGATGAACTATATGATGTTAATTCCCGATTTGCATAACCAGCATCACTAGATCGATGGTTGTTATAAGTCGTAGAGTCAGATCGATAAGGATCACGTACTAAAATATTCGTTACCATGAAAGTGTGAGATTAAATAGGACCCCCTGCTTTTATATGAAAAATTTAACAGCACATCACACCCTTTCTATTGAAAGTATCACTAAGAAAATTTATATAACCAAGATCCAGAAATAAGCAGCCTCTCTTAAATAAAAATCACCAAAATTGGGAATCGTCGGATCGCTAACACGAGAATATGAATGACTATCACGACTATAATTGGTAACATTTTCACGATTGACATTTGATGAGCCATATTCTCTAGCACCTAAAACTCGCTAATTTCTCATAATCTCTCAATTTTGGGAATTAATGCAATCGGATTTAAATGGCTTTTAAGCATATCCGAATATTATGAAGCAAAAAAATATACCGTACTCAAAGTACCTTAAAAAGAATCTTTCATTGAAGATTACAAAGATTCAGTGTAACTCGAAGTGCTGCAAAACTTTCCATCAAATCAAATAAGCAAAATAGAAAAGTTATAAACTATAAAAAAAGCGTACTATGCCGACTTCGATCTCGACTACGTTCACGACTTCGCCCAGAACTGACACGCGATGAGGAATGTGTACTATTTATATGCCTGGACGAACTGTGTGGTTCTCGTCGATCTGACAAAGAACTTCGAGATGCAGATGTAACTGTGTGATGTGTTGAAGACCGTTCACCAGATCGTCTTCCATATTCAGTCCTCCTTCAAGTAAAATATTTTCTTAAAGCAGACTCCAGATCATCAGAAAAAAACTCTCCTCGTTCTAACCGTTTAACAAAACATCAATATTACCATTTTTATAGCCTAGCCACTTTATTAGGCACTGATGACATTAATTTTACTTATTTTCTTCTGAAGCTAAAAATCCTTGGGAATAAACTGAACATGCATCTTATAAAATGTCGCTTTTAAGTGAAGGAAAACGTACTTCAAATCCTTTTCTGATTTGTACCTGGATGACTCCACATCACCATAATCATGCGACCGACGCGCTGGAGGTGCCCCAGGAGATGGCATCATCTGTACTGGTGTCGTCAGAGCAGCAATTTGGCGCAACTGTTGAAGTTCAAGACGCTCCCGTTCAAACCGCTCTCTTTCAAATTTCAAACGCTCACGCTCACGCTGCAGCCTTAATTCTTGCTCTTTAAGTCGATGCTCTTCTTCTTTCTTACGTAGCATCTCCATCATTTCACGCTTCTCCCACGAATTAGGAGGTTCAACACGACGGGAAGAAACTTCACGACGGACCATTCCACGTAACATGCTACCACGACTTATACGACTTGGGAATGACCGGCCGCCTAGAGTTCTCCTAGATGCAGCTGATGAGTAACTAGGTTTACGAATAGCATACGAACGTCGTAAAGAGGACGATACACGATCTATACTTTCAATTCTTCTACTGACTCGAAACCGTGATGGCAACCGTGCAATTGCTGAACGTTTGTTGCTGTTACTGACAGATGAAAATTTTGTGTCTGAAAAGAGTAAAAGCAAATGCCCTACTTTTTATTCTGCTTTTTATCCTGGAATAATACATCAGCGTTCAATAAAACACGCTTCAAACACGTAATCGCAATTTATCCTGAACCCCTCATCTCGTATGGTTCACCCTCCCCGGAAAAGACGTCCCAGGTAATAATAAAAACTTCATTACTGTTTCCTTCGCGATATTTCGGTAATGCCTTTCTTTCAATTCAAAGGGTTAGAAGCCATGACTTTCATCAATTGGACGTATCGACTGATCACAAGGTAATTGATACAAAAAAATCAATGCCAAAGAAGATGCCATTAAGCATCTCTTAGAGAGATTAAATTCAAAACTTCAGAAATTTTTTTGGCATGCCAGAACCAGCAAAATTCGACTGACAATTTAAAATTTCTGCCTGTTTAAAGATCTCTCATCTGTATAATTGATCAACTTGTTTTCAAACATAGTAAATTCTATAAATGTTACGTGTTGTGCTCGTAGATGGCGCTTTAACAGGCGACTTTTTTGTTTCTGAAACCACCTTTGTTGATTTCTGTTTCTCGTTTCTTACCACACTTTCTGCTTTATCACCACCCGACACGCCACTCTTTGGCTTATCGAGGTTAGCTCCACTGGTTCCATCTCTCTTTGATTTATCAGATGTTTTAGCGACAGAACATTTTTCGTCACTGCTTTTCGAACAACTATCAGCAACATTATTGGGCTTTCCAGTTTTCGCATCACTCGTAGTATTAGATGTTGGTTTCTTGGGTATCGATTTAACAGTAGGCATGTTGCAACGATCTGCCTAAATTTGTAAAAAATTTGTACCATATAGGCTGTGGTGATGTATTCTGTCCTCGTTAAATAGCAACGTTCTGGCGAGCCAGATGACACAGAGTTGATTCATATCACATGAAGAATACTGCTATATTTTTGACTACAATATTCTTTTCACTAAAGACCGATTTGGACCACAGAATATTGATTGCCCAATTCTTCGACGACATTTAAAAGTACGCTGCAATCCACTGTTTTTTTCACCTGCTTTTCTCGAAAGAACGACATCTATGGGTTTAAATTCAAGCACCTTGATGAAGCTCGATAATCGAAATGACTTTAGTCCCAAAACTTACATATCATATATATAAGACTTGAAACCATATAACATCATGTAAATATGATAACACCTGCATATAAATCTGTAACGTCAACATGAGATTTCCCTCTACTAGTCTGAAAAGAAAGTTAAAAACAAGCAAACACATACTCTTTCCACAGTAATAGGTCGTCCCTTAACAGTTGTTTTGTGAAGTTTCTGAATGCAAAGGTCAGCCACAGTAGCATCCACCATAGTAACAAAGCCAAAACATGCACTTGATGGCTGCTGCCGTCTTGTGAAAATTTTTGCAGTCAGTACACGACCATATTTTGCAAACATTGCCTAAATTGATTAAAGAATTGTTGCAACGATATCAAAACTTTGAAACTTATACTAAAATAAATTGGAATAAAGAAAAAAAATTTAAATATTATGTAGAAGCTTTAAAAAAAGAAGCGGTTAACACTGTCTGCAAAATCTGAGAAGTTACTTGCAACCTAAAGATTTTCATCATCTTCAAAAAGTTAACACAAATATTCAATGTAATGATCATTTTAAAAAACACCTTTAAATCAGCAGCCTTTGTATTTGGACTGATCCCTTTGATCCATAAAGAATTGTCGGATTTCTTCAGCACAGATGTCACCGTATGTACAGTACCTCCGACACGATCTGCTGGTGTTGATGCTACAGTCTCAACAGTCGAAGTAAATGAATTATTACTCCCTTTAGGGGTTTTGATTTTTTCTTCCATTGTCTCATCACATATCTTTTCGTCCTTCTCCTCTGTCAACTCACTCGCACTTCTTTTCGACTCCGTAGCCTTGAATTCCTCTTCATTAATCTATAATAATAGAATCACAAAAAGAAACCACGATTCATGTAAAAAGTAACACAGTTACATGCTTACCATTCTGCACCAATTCACATGAAAAATCGATGAAAAAAAAAACAGAACACGAGACTGCACAAAATCTAAGTTAAAAAAATACCCGAGTAACATCAGACATTTCTTCATCTTCATAATTAATTTCTTCTCCCAATTCCTTCAATGTTTCCTCCTCCTTCAACTCATCAGCTTCTATTGTTTGCTTTGAAATAATGGTCTCTTCAATGAGAACTTTGTTTATATCCATTGATTCTTTGATGGATCCAACTTTACTGTCATCTTCTAACAAACTTTTTTTAAACAACAAGAACTCATTACTAATTTAATCCGTTCACAAATTTAATAAAATTATATAAATAGCACTGTGACTCAAGCATTACCGGATATCTCCTTATTCTACAAATCTTCGATTTCTCAATTTTAAAACCATAAAAAGCAATCTAAAACTAATATCCAAATAAAACATTCAAACCCTCAATTATCTTGTGTTTCACTTTCGTTTCCTCGATTTCTGTCTCTTCCATCTTTGTCATGGCCAAATAACCTATTTTTTTCGTCGCCTCAACTTTCTGTGCAGGTTCAATAATTGTGATATCTGAATCTTCTTCACCTATATTTTCCTCTTTAGCTTCTCTATTTCCATCTTCAAGACCATTCTCAAGGCCTGTTCCATGTTCATTAGCTAAATAAGATAATTTCATTAGTTCGAAGGAAATAAACCACACAAGTTAATCATTTCCTAACCCGTAAAAAATGATAAGTATCCAAATTTGAAGTTAATCATATTATGTAGAAGCTTTAAAAAAAGAAGCGGTTAACACTATCTGCAAAATCTAAGAAGTTACTTGCAACCTAAAGATTTTCTTCATCTTCAAAAAGTTAACACAAATATTCAATGTAAAATTTGAAACTTTGACTAACCTTCTTTCACTACCTCGTTGGAATTTTTTAAAGGATTTGCAGGAGATCTGCTACAATCATTGACCGAGAACTTGTAAGTTTTAGGATCATAACCTTCTTCTCGAAGAGCCTATAGTATTAAAAAATCATTTCACTAGCACCTTACAATATAGAAACTGAAACTTGATACCCATACATGAAATCAATGATTATGAGATTTCATATTTTTGTCTCCACTGAAAATAAATGAAATTAAATTTTAATAACTGCATTCATTCTTACAGTCAACTTGATTTCTCTTCGGATATTTGATTTCGTTAAATTTTAATACAAAGATGATCTAGTTTCGTTTTGATGAGTGTTTTTCACTCCAACTATTTGTTTTATCTGTTTTATATTTTTGGACACAAAGACCTAAATCTTGAAAGAAATTTTAATTATTGCCAATAACCTACTCCAATAATTTTTATTTCAGTGTCTTTTATCAAACAAAGCAATATCATCAATTTATTACGATATATAATCAAGAGGCAACATTAATGTTGTACTTTTAAATATCATGTGAGCAAATACTAACGACAAACATTTGATAAAGCAAGCGCTAACCAGAAACATTCGCTATCGAGCAAATACAAAATCAAACCTCTTCCAAACGCTCTACCAAAGCGAGCTTAATTCCACTTTTGTCTAAGCCACGTTTTTCTAGTTCTTGTTTGAGTTCGAAAACTCGTAACTCACCCAGAGTCATAGTTTTTGCTTGTGTGCTTGAAACTGGCATAGAAGCCATCATTCAAATCTGAATGAAAATGTTAAAAAGAAACGGAGCTTATATTTACGAACAGCAATAAAGTGAATTAAAATCATGAGAGGGAAAACCGCTAAAGTGAAAAAAACAAGAGCTTTCGATCTATCTGCTTACATCTGAACTCAAACAATCAATCAATGCCAATCAAAAACATTTTATTGCGAATTTTGACTAACAATGATACTTCTACTAACCACAAGTATATTAATTATTTCTTGAAACTACATCATTTGCCACAAAAGAAACCATAAAAATACTCTCACATAAATAATTTACCAATACTTCCAATGATCAAAGAACCGTAAACCTAATCGCACACACACCCGAACAAAGTAACACAGAGGTTAACAAGCGTAACCGCGACTGAGCTGCCTTAACACGTTGCATAGATCGCAAAAAATTCGTGTGAAATCACATGTTTCTATTACAGCTCAATAATTTTTATTTCGCAACATATACTTTGTTATAATTCGAGTCTATTCATGTCCATACATCAGGGCACAGCTGGACTGATGCATTAAAGCAATGAATTGTCTCGTTTGTGTATGTGATTCCTTGAATGCCAACAATTGCATATACATATATAAATAACGATCAATACAGGAAGGTAATCAATATTTCTTTCACATATGTCTATTGCATTGCATTAGTGCAAATCAATATTTCGCGTAAATAGATCTACTTGTGTCAGTCATCTAACCGAACAATAGTTTGTAATGTTAAATTGTGAATTCTTTGTGGAAATTTACCTGACTATCGGGGATTTTTCCAAATATCAATACTCTTATACTTTGTTCATTTTCGAGAATAAAGAAATGTACTAGTGAGATTGTGCAGTATGTTGAAAGATTTGATTTGTGATGCAGTTACTGTTTACAAAAAGCTTAGATATAAACAGTATTGATGGAATTGTCTTTAGTTTTATTTTTAGTTACTAATGACGAAACATTTTTTGTTCATTTTTTACTATAATTATCAAGAATTTACTGATAAACAAAGGATATGACGGAGTATTTACGACCAATAATTTTAATAAAAATGATAGTAATAATAATCAATAATAATAAATGCTGATAATCAATAATATTGATAATCTAAAAAAGCACTAGCAATATGCAGTGCACTGCCTTATGAATATTCAAAAGTGTTATCTATAAAACAGGCAGTTTGACGTTTGCGAAGGGGTATTAGCGATGTGTTGTGGTGAATGACGAGGAGATTCTTTATGACTGAGAGAAGTATGCCTAATTTAGAATCAACCAACGGACCAGAAACCATATTTGGATATTACTTCACGAGTTATAATGTAAATTGTAAGTTATTTGTTGTCAAATACAATGTAAATTCTCATTTGCATTGATATTTTGAAAAAACTCTCTTACCGAAATTAGCTTAAAAAATTGTAGTTAGAAGTAATTTTATTGGCTATATGTATAGAAGACATAGCCTGACGATTTATTAGCTAAATATGATAATGGGTGTTTTCGCATTGAAATTTTCTACATATTAATATACTCTGATAGCTCTTTTCTATACAAAATACAACAGGTAATGAAATTGCAACGTTAAAGTTAATAAAATGCGAGCAATTCATCGTTGTACTAATAAAATGCAAGCATTACTTTGACTTAATGTGATTATTTTTGATGTAAACCAGTTGAGATACAGCAGATATGAATTATCTAAATAGAAACTTTCTTCCGGAAATATAAAGTATTTCATATTTTCTACGTGTCATAAAAATTATTGTTCGATGAAAATACATACATGGATGACATAAAAATTATTCTTCGATAAAAGGCAAGAATGAATATAAATCTGTGAACAGTGGGAACAAGTTTTGTCCAAGTGTCTATTTCAGTTTGCAAGTATTACAGTGAACAGAAATTAAAACAATTTGAATATACGAAAAAATTATAGTAATATGATTTATTTTTTAGCATAGGTAAGTCTCGAAATTAGTAAAGTTGTAAAGAAATAATGATACATGTTAATGGCAATTGTAAAAGTATTTAAGAGTTTTCATAAATGGTATTACAATAAGATAGAAAGTATTATAATATCAGTTCGTACTTTTTGATGCCTCCAAAAAATGAAACTATTAAATCAGTTTTAGTTTTGTATTCAGAAAGGTTGTGAGAAACTTTTAAACACCCTTAAATATTCTTTCATATTCCAATAACAACAATAAAATGAAGACACAAACAAACAGAACGTTTCTATTATTTCATTCTATTCTGAATGAAATTCACTTACGAGCTGTCATATAATAATAACTCAATTCAGAGTTTAAAAAATTTCATCCGAATTCAAAATGCATTGAAAGCATAATTGATTTTCCTAGATTGTAAGCTCGAGAATGATAAAAGTTAGTGAAGTAATTGGATGTAATAGTTGTATTCAGAAGGGAAGAATTCAAATATTTTCATTTAAAGTCTTTACAAATAAATAAAATGACGGAAAAAATTCAAATTGCATGTAAAATACGGTTTATTTGCTTTATAAAAAAGTCATTTCTGATCAAAATTCATTCACATAAATAAGTCAAAATAGAAAGAATGAAAAATTTTTAATTCAAAATTAAAATAATGCAATTAATTTATTCCAATTTCTTCTTCCTTCTTTCTAAATTCATTTACTTCTTTGATGCAACATTTTTTTTTTGGCTCTTTCCTCAATTATTTTATTCACACGTAATCAATAAATAAATAAATGATTTATCAATTAAAAAAGTATTATTATAAAATATCATCTTTAAATTGTCATAATTTTATAATTATGATCTGTATCCCACGTTGATTCAGCCAGCAATTGATACAACGATAAACATGCTTTACGTATTCTTCATCGTTATTAATAGCTAAATTATGAATGAAAAAATATTAAAATCAATCACTGCTAAATATTACCAAGCAATCACACACTAACAACTCACTCAATTCCAATAATTTGCAATTATTTTACTTACAAATTCAAATCTCTCAGCGCAGTAAAAGTAACAGTAAGAATGTTTAAGCATTCCATCCACTTCTGATCTATTCAACGGGTATCTATCTGACTTAGTGTGTGTGTAACTGTAAAAGTATGTATGCTAGCATTGCTGTTGACAAACTTGCAGTGAAGAATTGAATGGATGCTTCTTTCTTTCTTCAACTGCTTCAGTTTGTCTGATAAAAAATGGCTTAACTTTGAAAAATAATTACTGAATTATTTTTTTGTCTTCTCGAAAAAGACAGTATAGCATTTGAACATAAATATAAAATGCTTGCTTTAGCGATAAATTTAAAATTATGCATAGAATTTTGCATACTTAAAAAGATCATTCTATCTCTGTTTTTTTCTATTTTTGCTTATTTTTTGTTATTATTATTATTATTATTATTATTTCTATTTTTGGTAAAAGTTATCAATTTTTATTCTTTAGTGAGTTCTCATTTTTTAGCATTTAAATATCAAATCATTTAAACTAATTGCAGCACATACACCACAAAACAGAATCGCAATTAGTACTAAACCAAAGATACTAACTAATTGTTAGCTAAATGTTTGAATGCAAGAAAATAGCAATTGCTGAGAAATATGCAAAATTATTAGACAGCAATATTGATAGATACATTACTAATAATAATTAAATAATAAAACAATTAAGTAAAATTTTGCAAAAGTTTCACATCCCTAAAAAAGTTTAGATTAGTTATATAAAAGCACTTCTACTCAATCTTGTAAGACTTTAATAATTTTTCATTGAAATCACTTCAACTTATTAGAAACACAATCACAAATGCATTTAAAGAGTGGTTTTTTCCTCAGTAATTTCATTCAAAGTTATAAGCATTCTATGCTTATAACTTTGAATGAAATTACTGAGGAAAAAACGTAAAGCTAATTCCATTTAGCAATTGTGATTTGCTTATTACGAACCTTGCATGTCACTAAAAAATAAAAGTAAACTTAATTCTCATTCAAGCATTTAGAATTAGAAGCCAATTTGAAATTTTGAAGTATCTGATTCTATTTAGTAACTAACTAACTGATTGTATGAATAAAATATACAAAGCATCAAAAAATGTGATATAAATGTCATATCAAGATAAGAAGTTTCAAGAATACTAAAATTTATCACTATTTAATCGTAACTTTAAATTTAGTGCTATTTACTTAGTAAAATGAAATTTATTAATGATATGAAATTATTAAAAAAATTTTCAACAGAATTCACTATATTTAAATTACCAAAAGAAATAAGATAAGTCGAACATTTGCATTTATTTTAAGTAATGTTTACCAAAGTTATGAACTTTTATGATCATTTTAAACTAATTAATTACAAATATCCAATACCAACATATGCTGGAAACGTTTTTCACGCGCAAACACGGATTCTTAAATGAATTTTAACATGAATCAGATATTTTTCATCAAGACTGAAAAAATAATTGTAATGATTTGATGAGATATGCGTTAAACAAGATTGTATAACTTCTGCAGTTACAGAATAAATCATTACGGTAAGAAACAGATTGTATGATTTTTGAATCCAATTTTTTGACTTGAAAAAAATCATGGATTCACAAACACAAAATAAGCGAATATTTCGAATCTGAATTAGTGCTATGGGAAGAATGTTATCTTCAAATAAGTAATACATTTTTTTATAATCATTCTATCAAAAATGAGTATTGTAATTACAGTGCTCCATATTTTGAACAATTATTTTACAAGTATTTCTACAGTACCTGTAAATAAATACAATGTACTAAAGGATGATTTCTGAAATCACATAATGCAGAGGTCTGTAATCTCAATCATTTATTAACGTGCAATTTTCAATTTTTTGACTGCTAAATTTGAAAAGAAATTTTAAATTAATTGGAAAAAAATTACTAAATATAATTTATTTTTGTTATTCACGCAATTTTTACAGCGAAAAATAAAGTTGCAAATTTGTCTTTACATTTTTTTGATATAACAAAAACTTCTCAAACTGAAAATGCTATGAAAAAATTATGTGAAATTCCAACGTTACCAACATAGAATTATAAATGAGTAAGTAATACGATGAATACTGATTGCATGCTAAAACATTATCACAAAATCCGATAAACTAATGTAAATACTTTTTTTATTTCTTATTTTAATAAAATAACAATAATAACTGAAATTATCAAAAATACTAAAATAAATAACAATAATAACTATAATAATAATAATAATAATAAATAATGATAATAATAAATAATGATAATAACAAATAATAATAATTAGTTCAAAGAATCAAAGTTTTATAAATATTAACTGTAAGGTTTAGACGAGTAGAGAAAGTAAGTAGTAATAAATGGCAATGATAAATGTTCGTTACTCGTTGAGTATTCTTCAGTATTTTCCTTTTCTCGTGAACAATTAGGATAAAATTGATTGATCATAAATTTTTTTACTTTTTGAAAATAAACTTAAAAGTTTTGAGGTATTAATAAAAATAGATTGAGCAAAACTTACTACTTTACAAATTATTTCATATTTGAATATATCCGAAATTGTATTAATATAGACTATAATTAAGTAGCCTTTGATAAAGCCAAATAAATTTGGATTGAAGTAAATCAATTAAAACCAAATGGAATAACTTAATCTAAAAACTGAATAAATTAATTCAAATTTTTACAGTACTGAGTAATGTTACTCAATCTATTTACAACTTTCTGCCTTTCATTATTACCACAAAGAAGTGATACGTTTCCTAAATATGACCCGGAATTTGCGAGATTTGCATTTGAGCATGCGGCTGCAGCGTATTCTTATAATCCGTTAAAATGTGTGCGAAAATATGATGGTACTTATATTTTACGACAAGCTAATATATCATGCGATTACTTCCACGATAAGGTAGTGATGTTTTTGCTTTTGTTTATTATTTATTGCCTTTGTGCAATTATTTGTTATTGAAAATTTTTGCTTGCATAAACAAATGAATGAATTTTTTCAGTTTGTAAACAAAAATTTTGTGGTTGTAAACTTTCTTACGGCTATATTTCCGTTCCGTACTTTTTTAAGACTAGAATTATCAGCGAATAAGTAAACGAGAATTCTGTCTCAAAAAATGAATGGCAATTAGTCTTCAGAATGCGTTAGCTATCTAATTAATCTCAAGTTTGATATATGAGTATTTAGCTTAATGCACTCTTCTAGATGAGATAATTTAAACAAAGTAAGCGGAAAGTTCAAATTTTAAAGAAACAGTTTGCTGAGTTCAAGAAATGAAAAAATTATATTATTGCTTTATGGAAATGATTATGTACGCATATTTTACTATTATATTGTACAAAAAATGGTTTATTTTCAGTGTCTTTACTACATATCAGTGTCTCCGACCTTCGTGGTAGTAGCATTTCGAGGGACAAATTCCAAATTCCAACTAACTGCAGAAATTTTAGCTAGCTTGACGACACCTAAGACAAAATTCATAGGAGGTGGCTCAGTGCAGCGTTATTTTAATTCAGCTTTCAAATCAGCTTGGAAAGATATGAAGCTCTCTTTGAAGAAACTATTAAAAGTAAATTTTATACCATCTAAAACTATTATCTAAAAATTTTAAAATTTGGCTAATTTCTAAAATTTGGTTTTTTGAAGAATTAGTTTTTGAAATCTGATGGAAAGAACTTTTAAATCTGAAGAAACTTTAGAAGCTTAGAAGATTCTATCAAAGAAAATAAGAGCTATTATCAAAGAAAATAAAGTTTTTAATCGTTTTATGTTGCTACTAATCTGAAAAACTACATGACTAATCTATGTAAACTGATAATTTAAAACTAGATAATGTCATAATTATTCAATTACTTAAAGTGTCATAAAATCAACTCATAAGTATAATGTGGTATAGACAAACAAAACTCGCCCAGTCTTATTTACCGGTCATTCACTTGGTGGTGCACTGGCAGCCCTGGCTAGCACAGAATTTGCATACTTATATTTCATGAAGAAACAACGACCAGTGGATATTCGTTTAGTGACATTTGGTGAGCCGAGAGTTGGAGATCGTAATTTTGCTTTTGTTCATGACACTTTGGTACCTCAAAGCTTTCGATTAGTTCACGGAGGAGATCTGGTAAACGAAAAAGGCTTCTCAATAATTTTACATCTTTACATAAAGAACCGAATAGACCAAAAATTTGATAAAGGAAATAGATTAGGCCCGCAATTTCTAATTCAGTATTCAATATATTTTTGAATACTGAATTAGAAATTGCGGGCCTTAATTTTTCAATATAACAGCACAATTTTTGGTATATTTTAAATTAGCAGTTAGAATTAATTGAAAAAAGACAACAAATATCATTTTACAAATTTTAGATTTCACATCTTCCAAATTGTTTAGTCAATCTTCGAACATTTAAATGTATCTCACGATACAGTATTGGACCATACCATCATGGATTTGAGATTTGGTATCCTGAAAACATGACTGCAAATTCAACATACCAATTATGCAATGGTAAACCTCAAGATGAAGATCAACTCTGCAGGTTATTTATTTTTCAATCAAGCAAAAAAATATTTTCAAAAAGTACAAAATTTTAATTAATATTTCGTTGGTTACATATTTTTCAGTGATGGCAATTATCTGCATTACAACATTCACGATCATTTATTCTATTTTGATGTGCATGTCAGTAAATACGGTATAGAAGGATGTAATGCAAATTGAATTCTAATAAACAAAATAATCGGAGAAATGATTTAAAAATTTAATTCATAACAATTCCTTATGAAAACATTTCATGCGCTTATAATTTGTTTATTGTTACAGTAATCATGAAATCTCTAATAGGTTTCTTTTTTTCATCTTACAGTCAGAATAATTTACAATACCAAATACAAAAATGAGATTATAGTAGAGCTTTGATAATATGCAATTGTGTTAGTGCTTGTCGATTTTATTTGTATTCATCTAAAAAATATTTAAGTTATTACTTAACTTTGTTTTGCAGTAATGATTTTTGTCATTTATTTTTTGCATAAAAAATGGATTTGCATAAGATACCTTTTATTTCCAAGTACAAAAAAAGTAATACAACAAAGTATTCAAATCACTGTATGTCGCATAGAAGAATTATATAACGGAGTTAGTTCACGAAGCACTGTTGAATTCAAATCATTGCGTACTTTATTCGAGTTTCTGACCAAATAATATGTTGATATCAAAGCCAGAAGAAATGAAAACAATAGAAGTGATGTGGACGTTATAGACAAGTAGAAAGCCGAACCAATTTCTTGCTAAAAAAAATAAAGCAATCTGTAAAATTGTATTAGTTAAACACTGATTAAACTTAGTTTTAAAATTATGAATTGAGCAAAAATACATAACTTATTATTACTTGATAGTCCCAGAAGGATAGTTACATTGTTGCAAAATAATCTACTGTTCATCTTTGAAGTTCAAAGTTCAAATGTGAAACAAATTTTTTGATGCATTGTGTATATGTTAAAAATAAGCACATCAAAACAGCAATTAGCATATATTCAGAATGATTTTTTGTGAAGTTGTAGAAGTTCTATTAACCAACCTCGTAAGTACCAATGAGACCTTGTACGAACCTACTATCGACTCGATGAGCAGCAAAAAAAAATATTGCATTTGCAACTATCGAAAAAAATACTGCAAAAGTTGAAATCAACAGTGAAGATATTTGATCTAGATTATCATTATGTACTGATTTAAAGAATCTAAAAACTGGAGCCTGAAATCATATTAAAATATAATTTTAAAAATATTTGAAAAACAAACATGCGATGAAAATAAAAAGTGTAAAGCAGACAGCAATCATATTACTGCAAGGTGCGCAAGTTCCACATAAAAGTGCCAGTGCACTGCTTGCGAACAGCACGATGAAACATATCAAGACAGCTTTCTGCCAGCCTCAAATATTTGATTTTTAATTATAATTTCTTGCAATTTTGTAGCATTCATTACTGTAAGTTGATAGTCCACTTTTGACACTCTCCATGGCAGCAATTTAATGGCACAATTTTTTGAAATATTATATTTTAACAATCAAAAATACTTAATTGCTATTCAAAAAGATCAACTCACTTCATTGTTATATCTCACTGAAATAGATGAAAATAATAACTGAAAAACTAGCCAAAAAATTGATGATGTTGAGCTTCAATAGCAGCACCATTTTGATCAATGTCTAACAAATTCTCATCGATGATTTCTCGAGCATCACGATCAAACTTATAAGTACAGGATAGTGCTGAGTACTGTAATTCCTGGTGACTTTCAGTGCTTAATAAGTTTGAACGACGATTCGGACGAGTACAATCTTGCCATAAGCCATGCTAGACATGTAAGAAAATAATAGCGATATATTATTCAAAATAACAAATTAAAAATTAGCCAAAAAATTAAGTGAAATGTGTAAAAAGATTAAATATCATTACATGATGTTCAACACGAAATTCGCGTAAATCGACCACTTGCCATGAAGGTGATAAGATTGCAATAACTGATGTACCCAAAGCAATCATAAGTATCACCAATGAAGCAATGAGCACTGCCTTCTGTGCTTTATGATCTTTGCTACTCATTGTGCAAAAACCTTAACAGTAAACAATGGTTTTCAGTTTAATCAGGTACGGACATTCTGATAAAATTAAATTACACAAATTTTGCAAAAAGTATTCCTCAAAAGAATTTAACTTCAACATTGAAAGAACCAATCATAAAATAAAATATTATTCTAGGCTGTGAGTTAATAAATGTTGCTTTTGTCCAACAATGTTCAGTAATACTTTCCTCAAATTATTCTACAACTTCAGAGTTATTTGGAATATAATAAAAACCTTTACTATTTATCTAAAATTCACAAAATTATCTCTATCGTAAAGACTTCGCTACGCTACTACATATGCCTAAAATACTTGAAAAATTTTAAATCAAATATCTAAAAATTTTTAAACAAATATCTAATATCTTCATGACAAAAAGTTCGCTATTACATATGCCTAAAATACTTGAAAAATTTTAAATCAAATATCCGAGTCACACTAAAGGCAGCATTCATATACCTGCTCTGATATTTATCTTCTTCTAAGCGTTATTTCTAACAGATAAAGTCTTCATCAAAAATGTTGCTTAAATATATCAAAAAATAATACGTACATCAACTCATTAACAATAGCATTTAACTCAAAATCATCCAGTAAACTTGGTGGCTAAATTTGCAAAATCTCGAGGTACTTACCGCTAACATATACTTGATAATTAATTAAGGCCTGAATATCAGTCAGAAATTGTCATTCTCAGATTCAAATATGGCATTATTATTGCAGCATTAATCTCTTCTCAATTCCGATCTCAGCAAGCTTTTCTGATGCCTTAAACAGCTCAACCATTACAATGTTTGCAGTTTTTTGAGCTGTATTATTCATAAAAAGGATACTTGCAGCGCTGCGCAATCAACTCAAACCCGATTACTTTCATTAATGTAAACTTTAGCAAAAGTATTTGCGAACAAACTGCAACACTTTTCTTGCGCTACAAAACACAAAAATTTCTCAGCTTTGCAATAATTAGCAACGATGAAAATTCAAATTCAATAAAACTAAGACAACGTGTGTGCATCCATCCATCCATCTAATACTCCTCTCAAGAGGACGTAAAGAGAGATTGACTGTTTCGTCGTTAAGGTCAGCAAACAGGTTGGAGACAGACACAAACACACACACACACACACACTCTTAAATAACGCACACCTAAAAATTTATATATGTGTGTATTTATGTATTTATGTATTTATGTATGTATGCGTGCAATTTAAGCAAAAATACGGACAGACGATTTCTGTTTGTGAATAAATATTTATACGAGCCTTATCTCATACAATGAATACTAACAGAGTTGAGCGAATTTTAATGAAATTTCAGCATTAGAGCAATCTTTTCAAATATTGGAAATTGCTGGAAAAATGATAAATTTTTGTATTCAAATTTTTAGAACTGACACTTACGCAGTGTAATCCAACGTTTTGCATAATCACATTAATGATTATTTCGCTGAGTTATGAGGGATTAGCGCAAACTGAACTCTTTACTTTAAGACTGATTCATTGCCATCGAGCATGCTATTAAATCTAAATCGATTTGTGAGTGCAGTTCATGTCAATAAATGATCCATTGATTTGAAATACAGTTCAACAACTAAATGAAAAGATTGTTTTCATTTGTTATCATTTATTCCTCGATTGATTCACATTATAATAGTAGTTGATTAGTAGTAGTAAAAAATCATATACAGAATGCTTACAAATCATGTTATAATTAATAACAAATTAATTACTTGGCAGAGTAATTATTTCTCAACATTCAAATCACAGATCATGTTGGGTTTCGCACTCTATCTGATGTGATCATCGATTATTGATTACACTGCATAAATATCCAGTCTGAAAATTTGAATCATAAATTTATCATTTTCCCACCAATTTCCAATATTTGAAATAATTGCTTTGATGCTGAAATTTCAAATAAATATACCAGTTTCTAGCAGAAATTTATGCGGAATGTTTTCTGTGATCGATTTATACTAGTAATGATTTCTTGTAAAACTCTGATAAATTTGAAGTACACATACGATAATTAAATACTAACGATGATACCATGTCACGTGAAAAAATTCACTACTTCGACTTTGACTTCAACAAGGACAGTCTTAAGGATATTCGTATCCAAACAGATATTAATGACTGCATCTCATAGTTAGAGGAAAGGTTTTTTGCTTCTTTGCTTTGATATTTTCAACAACTGTACTTCTAGACAGTGCAAAGTTGACAATTTGTTCATTTCCAGTGCTATCATTTCTGTACTATACTGTTTTTATAGTTCATTATTTAAAGACATTTTGGTAAAAAAGCTCCGTTTAATTTACGTTTAGCAAACATAACTGAAATCGAGTTTGACGTTAGTCAAGTCAGCTACATTCACTGAATGTGCAGAGAATGCTGAATTCAACACGAACGAGAGAAACGCAAACATACCTTACTTAGTTTACAGTAACAGTCTTTGTATGTCTGTAATAATAAAAATTGCAATGATTTACGATAAATTTTATTTTTCATTAGATAATTAATTTTAAGCTTTTATACACGCTAGACACGCACTTGCAACTTACTGTGCAGCAGCACTTAATTGCATTGCAGCACACGTGAGTGCAGCAACACTACCATCAGTATGCACGCACTAGCACTCTCATTCACTGTTCACTCGCCTCACTCACCGCATTCCTTAGTCCATTCAATCAGACGAACGAGTGTTCCATACCCCCGTTGTCGTTTAATAAATTTCTTGTTTTACAAATCTGAGGAATTACTTCTAGGTATGACGTGAGTCAAGTAATAAGTACTAACATTTAGGTCAGTTTATAGTTTGGTCGTGATGATAATGATAAGCTAATGATTCGGTCGATTTTAGTCAATGACCTATCAGACTAATCAATGTACTACTACATGTTCGATGCACTCTTTCATTGACCCAAACTTGGCTGCTTTCCATTATCCCAAACATTTACATTTGAATGCATTACAACGCTATATTCGTTATATATAGTAGTATTTATCAGTTGAATTTATTTGTTCCTTGATCAGTTTATTGATTATACTAATGACAAGAGTGGTTTATCTGATAATTTTGTTGCACTCTATTGGATTTTGAGAAAAATGTAACAAAGCAATAATTGTTGGGGATATGCAAATAGATAAAATGAACACTGTTCCACTCTAATATCACTTTCTGTTCAAGAAATATTTCCACTACTCAATTCCAAAGCTTTCTCCGTTATCACTCATAAGTGTGATCATTTGCGTAGTGTGTTGTGTTTTGTATTTGAATCTCAAAACTGTTAGGTAGTAGTAATTTCCATGAACAGATTTGCTGATAAAGTAAAGTGCTTTGATGGTAACTGTGTTCTTGTAAATGCTACAATTTGTTCATTTGTGTAACTGTGCCGAACAGTTTTTTTTTTTGCATTATTCGATGTTGTAGTTAATATGTGTGTCTGCTAGTATATGCATTTCCTGCTTTAGGCCTATTTCATTCCTTGATGGCGCAGCCACGAGAGCAACGTGTTAGTAGATGGTACTTTGGTGGTACGGCGTCTGCAGGTGCTGCCATGTGTACTCATCCTCTGGATTTGCTTAAGGTTTGTAAACAAATTCAATATGTTAGCCAGACATATGTGTTGCTAGTATTATTTATTTATGATTGTTTCTAGGTTCATTTACAAACTCAGCAGCACGGTAAGGTTGGCATTGTTGAGATGACAATGAGAATAGTACGAAACGATGGTGTTCGTGGTCTCTACAACGGTATTTCAGCATCTTTGTTACGACAGGTCGCATATACTAAATTCCTGTTGTCTTTTATTTTTAGTAACTGACGCTTGACATTGCTGCACAAAAAGTAAAGTCAAATAAATGATAACAAGCGTATTTATATCTATATTTATCTTGTTTTCATTTTTTAGAATATCATTTTTGAAAAAGCGAATTTAATCAAATAGTTTTCGAATATTTTTCAGATGACCTATTCGTTGACACGTTTCGGTATGTATGAACAACTGAAGAAACAGTTTCCTGGAGGTAGAATGGTTTCTTTTTTTCGTTTTTTCAAATACATTAAAAAGATGAAACAAAAAGACACAAAAATATCGAGACCTTTAAAGAGTGAACTTCAGGAGAATAAAAACTAAATAAAATGTTAATTGCAACTAAGCTTATGTAAAGTGATATCTATGTTTTGCTTCAAGTCAAAGTATTGACATGTAGATAACGTTTTTGAACTCCAGAAATGTTGGAATTAATTAAATTCAGTCAGAAAGTCGCTTGCAACTAAAAAGAAGTAACAATTATTCTGCTATAACGTACGTAGCAGAAATAACCTCGCTAAATGAAGTAAAGTCAATAAATTTATTATATCTCATTTTTCTGCCAAGATGTAAAAATTGCCAGGAAGCATTTATGATATATGCATGGTTTTAGACTCCACTTCTATTCCGTTCTACCAAAAAGCTGCACTGGCAGGTTTGAGTGGAGCATGTGGAGGTTTCATTGGTACCCCTGGAGATATGGTCAATGTACGTATGCAGAATGATATGAAGGTATGCTTTTTAGCAGCTCTGAGATTAAGTGAAAGATTTTTTTACCGAGATCAAAATTTCTAGAAATAAAAATCTGCTACAAGACTTTCGTAGAGCATTGAACACAAATTTTTTTTGCAGCCAAGGAAAGTATTGATATAGCAGTCAGTGCCCAAGTATTTTAGAATATCCTCATAGATTCCTGTGTTTAGTTACCACCTGCAGAAAGACGAAACTATAAGCATGCAATTGATGGGTTATTTCGAGTAATGAGTGAAGAAGGCTTTACAAAGCTTTTTAATGGAGCCGCAATGGCCACGTCGAGGGCGATTTTCATGACTATCGGCCAGCTGTCATTCTACGACCAAATCAAGCAAATGGCCATTGCAACAGGGTACTTTAAAGATAATCCAACGACACATTTCGGATCTTCTATTGCTGCGGTAACACTTTGTCTACTGCTAACTTATTATTATGATTTGCAATTATCTTTTATTCTGAGTTATGTATAAAGAGAATTGTTTCCAGGCATCTATTGCAACGGTGTTGACTCAGCCACTAGATGTTATGAAAACGCGTATGATGAATGCGAAACCGGGTCAATTCAATGTAATTTTCTTGTTTTGCACTAAATGCGTCGTTCCTCAATAGCGTAGTGTGAACAGAAGCGGTTGAGCTTAATTTATTTTGTAGCTAGTACAGTTAGTTTGTCGTACTAAGTGACTGTGCATATTTTGACTCACAACCATAAAAATAATGTATTTGCAGAGTATTATGTCATGCTTTGTCTACACGGCAAAACTTGGGCCAGCTGGCTTCTTCAAGGTAGCACTGAAATTTGAAACCCTTGGAAAATTTCAAACTCATTTTTCACTTTTTGTTTGTTAACGAACTAATTATTGTTTGCACACTGCGCTAATTTATAGGGCTTTATGCCAGCATGGGTACGTCTCGCACCACAAACGATTCTTACGTTCATCTTTTTGGAACAGCTTCGCCTGAATTTTGGCTATTTCCGAACTTCTCCACCGAAATGAATATAAGATCCCGAGAAAAAGCCTTCGCAATCTTGTAAAACCAGTTTAATTGATGGAAAGTAACGATTACTATCTTGAGAACCTTTTTCCTCAAAGAATTATGGCCTGGAAACTTGCTACAAAAAAATTGTTCTCTTTATCAGCATTTTGTCAAATCTCTCGTTAAATTTAAGGTTTTATGTGTAATTAAATTTTTCTCCTCATTTGTGACAAAGAAAAGTAAAATTTATATATCCAGTTTATAAGCCTTCAATTTCTAGGCTATACTTTAGTTAAATTTGCAATAGACTCTGCGTATGGTACAGTTTTGTAAGTCACACATATTTATTGACCACAATTTTGAATCAGAAAAGGTTGTAAGAATATTCAATGACTTACTGCATTTTTTAATGCTAGAACTTTATATGGAAAGTTTTTGAGTTCCCTCCACTTTATTTTGAAATAAAATTAGCTTTTCATGCGACTACGCCTGAAAATGTAGGTCAGTTTTTAATAATTATTGCCAACACCAAAGTAATTTTTTTAAGCAGGAAAAAAAAATTCAGACATTTACATTTAGCTGTACAGAACAAAGAACAAGGAATAATATATGATGGAGGAAAATATCTGCAAAGATGCAGACATTTTAAAAATTCAGAAGTTTCGGAAAATAGAGGGATAGATAACCGTGAATAATAGTTTTCCCGTCAAATAAAATATCATACAAACAAAATGAACCAAAAAACAGAAATGAATAGGTGAGCAGCTACAGTACTGAATTGTCTATTTAGTTACAAATGGATATACTGCACAGAATCAAAATATCCCTCCATCCGGTGAGGGTCATGTCACTTGGTTACTAATAGAGTTGCCGAAGTTTTGTACTTAAATTTGTCAATTTTCACTCGTAGAATGATCTTTCGGACTGAAACTTAAAGTAGTTTATTCATGAGAACTGTCCTATGTTTCATCCCACCATTAATAAGTCTCTTTAGATAGCATGTACACTGGTTAGACATGACATATATGTTATGGATATGTTGTAAACTTCACGCAGTTCTTAAATTGATACCCAAAGTCTTTTGTTTGCAATGGTAATTTACCACGCGAAAAAAACGCTAAAATACTTCTAATAGAAGGATGGTTCAAGCACAATATATCAGTTGACATAATTGACCTTTCAGACGTATCGCATAGAAAACTGATCACGACTTAATTCACTTGATGATGCAATAGACGATGCATAATCTGATGAACCTGTAGTGCCGCCAGCAGCTCTTATTTCAGCAACAGACGGTGCAGTTGGAGTGGCAGCAGTGATTGTTGAATTGCGGCGTTCTGGTGGTGGAGGAGGTTTACAACTTCCTAAAGCTGAGCGTATTACATTATGTAGAGCATTTATTAACTGCAGAATCCTAGTAATCAAAATTACCCGAACGGAAGCGAATGCCTTGATGAGTCATAGCAAGGGACGTTGTTGTACAGTATGTGTCCAGCTCCGAACCAAGTTTATCGATTTGCTCGAGAGTTTCCGCAATTAAAGATGCATTTGCTTTCGCTGCATTTCCTAAAGAAAGAAAAATGTTCAATGAAGCACAGTAGAAAGCACAAAGGCGAGCCTCGGTACACATTTAAATAATCTTCAAAAAGTGGAATGCAGCATACAAAAACAAGATATACAGAGGGCAATCAAATATTTTAACCAACAAAAACAGTAATTCTCATATCTTTATTTTTCCTACTGAACATAGGAATTGAACTTTTTTTTGTTTGGTGGTATGAGTATTTATTAATGATAATTCGCAAACAAAAAACAAATCACCATCGTTTTCCGAACGTGTGTTAATATCAATATGACCATTATGAGTTGGAGTAGGTGTTCTATTAGGACGCGATGTCAGCATGTCTTCACATGCAAAACTTAGTGGTCTAGAAGACCGTCTTAGAGTAGAATCCCCAGATACATCTGTTGATGAACAAGATGATACTTCTCCATTATGCAATGTCTAAACTGTTATATTCATGCTCAGCAAAATAGTGATTTTTGAGAACGTTAGTTCAACTGTAAATAAAATGAAAAATAGCCAAGCACGGTAGTAAGGATTAAGTCTACCTCGATTCCTGCGCAAGATCCGTGAAAATCTGGAATCGGAGGGACAACAGGACTACATGATGGAACTGTTTTTTTTGGTAATGGTGGCTTTTTTAATGCAAATTCTAGAGGTTGTGATGGAGATGGAGGTGTATAAGTTCGTGAACTAATTACTGTACGCCGTGGCTGCTCTACTACTGATATTGTATGTGCCCGTATTGATGACGAACCCGTACTAGATGGAAAGCCTTAAATTTAATGTTAAATATGAAATTCAACTAAACATTAAGGATTATGCAGAACAGTGATTTGAAAGCTCGAAAATATCGAAATTTTCAAATTACAAGAGTCATCCATAAGATTAAATCCTGAACTAAATGCTCAATTTTTCACAGAAAACATGTAAAATCCTTACTGACAACAGAGGTGGGCCAAGTTGATGTGCTGGGTGTTGGTGATGGTGCTCTAATTGACACCTCATCACCACTATAAATGCAGGAAGATCGAATGGCATTACTTGATAAGCAGCTACGCCAGGAGTTATCAGAACCTTGATGAATGTCATTTAAAATTGTGTCAATAATCTCTGTACCCTTGCCAGACTGCAGTGTTGAATGTAAATGGTCGGTTACTTGTCGAAGATGGCCACTTTCGTCCAAAAGACCAAGCTGATTGTTCTAAACGAGAATGACTTTTTATTGATTAGTCAACAATACCTTATCGGTCTTATAAAAATATAACTGCAATAGAAGCACAACAACCTGCTCAACATCACCTATGTTTTTGTTTTTTTGTTTTCTATACAAGAAATTTTAACATTTCATTCTTCTCAACTAACAGTCATTTGGTACGTTTATTAATGAGGATATTAACCTCCTGCTTAATTTTAATTTCAAGTAATTGCTAACAAATAAATGTGATATGAGTTTTTGAAAAATCTAAAAAGTTAGTACTGACAAGGGTGGGTAGGAGAGCTGCAACAAAAAACGACGTCTGATTTCGCTGCTCAGTAAGTAAAGCTTGACAAATGCGGCGCTGCTCATTTACAGCACTCACATCAATACCGCCTTTGCGTGACCGTATCTTAAGTAAATAGAATGTTTAAAGTATGCTAAAACTAATAATTTTGATTTACATAAAATCAAAAATTATGTCAAGGAAAATGTGATTCATGAATGAATACATTGAGATGAATGCTGACTTCTAAAAGTATATCTATTTAGTTAAGACAGAACCTAAATGCTAACACCTAGTCCGTTCGATAAGCTAATATTGATAACGGGAGTTTGGATTTTAAAAAATGAAAAAACACACATGCGAGTATTAAAAAGTAAACTAACTCCTTTTCAATGTCAAAAATTATACATCAAGATTTAATTTTTGGAAAAAAGTAGAACGATCCAAGCTTAGAAAGCTAGATGAATTTGAAAATTTATTGACAAAAATGAGAAAAAAAGTTGAATCACAAAACACAGTTAAGTCAGTCTGCGACCAATTTCATTCTTAAAATCTTAACAGAAAAGGAAACAGTGTCTAACTTTTCGACAAAATTTATTAGCATGCCGATCCATCTCTGCTGTTCGCTGTTTCCAATGCGTACCTTTTTGGTGCAGGCACACAGCCAAGTCGTCTGTTAATGAATCTACAAAACTACGCAGACGATTTTCTATTGACCGTTGCCGCATACAAACACGTGTTAAACATGCACCTATATCACGTGTAGCACCTGAAAATTTTGTAAATGTCTCTTATCATAATTTCATCAAGAGCTTCTAAAATGACTGCTGACTAACTAAAATAAAGCATCTTGAGCAGACTGAGTGATAGAAAATAATACAAAATTGATAAAAAATAGGACGAGTATTTTTTTTGTGCTAAGGAAATGCAAACAAATGAGGCATTGAATGAACATTTTTCATTTACTCATTTTAAAACAGTAGGAATACGATTAAAAAAGTCTCATACTTTTAAAAATATTTTTAATACGTTACGCTACAGCAAAATTTCTAATAGGAAAACAATATGGTTTTTCTTGCATGATGCTGGAAAATGCTTTTACAAAAAATTCAATAATCATTCTACGAAAAATGGATGAATTTTACAGACTCAAAAACATATAACAAGTCAATTCTGAACGCCACATTCTTTACTTAGTAGTACACAAAATGAGAAAGAAACTGAATAAAAACCAATGATGAAAACTGCTTACAAAAGTTTATTTTCGGCTATGGAAGGCATGAAAATAAATTAAAAATACCTTTCAAATTATTAGCTGCATCGCCAACTGTTTGTATAGCATCAATAAAAGCATTCATGCACAATAACGTTGACTTCATTTGCGTGGCAAGTTTGAAGGCTTTTTGAGCGACATTTTCCCATGCTGGATAAGTTAGCTGCAATGAAAATTTGCCCATTAATATAAATATTTTCATCACTAAATGATTGGAATATTATAAATAACTTTTATGAATATACTCTTTCTAGTTTATATTCACAACTTTTAAAACCTTTTGAAAACAAACTTTGCAACGAAAAGACTTGCAATACCTTCTTAGTATTGCAATGCACACACTGCTGCTAGAAACTTTTCATACATAGCATAATTCTATCAGAAAGTGGGGCAAAGTCGTAAATTGTCAATAATTTGCTTACTCATCCCTTCTTATTCTTCACTCCCATAATGATGCAGCAATTTAAAAATAACACTCTTAAGTTAGTCTATATCATTAATGCTTGATTTAAAAGTCTTCAGGAATGCCAAACATGAAATAAAAAGTACCTTCATGTCATGTACAACACTTTGATACACAGAAAGTAGAGCTTTGAATTCCGTTTCACAATCCATCCTATTTACTTCTTAAATAATACGCTAAATACGTATGAATTCAGCACTGTCGATAAAAATCAAAAAATGATCGATAATAACGGTTTTAGACAGGTAGAGCAAAATAGCAAACTGATGATCGTAAAAATGACTGGAAGCCAGCAGCAACCCTAACAATATACTATGTACAGAACACACAATATCCACGCTCTTAACGTCATTTGTTCTCAGATATCACGCACGTCTGAAATGTACTTCTAAAAGAGATGAGCACTTGATTCTAAGCGAACAAAATAACTGTCGAAAAAATAAGATGACGAGAGTAAGGAATAACAAACAGATTGTTAACATGTGATAACTACACAAAAAATCACTCGAAAAAAGCTTTCACACGAAGGTGAGAAATCTGACATTCCTGCTACTACCAAACGCAAATTTAGATATGAAAAATCTACAAGGTAATTAATTACTTACTTTCTTCTGTAACAATGAAGAAAACTGCTTACTTGTAACAATCAATGCAACAGTTTGCTCAAGTAGAAAAGGAGCAAAGGAATGGCAAGAATGCTGGCAATGAGTCTAAATTTGCATATTCATAACAACTCTTTAATCGGAAGTTATATTAGAAAATATTGCTAGTATAGCAGCAGCAATGTTAACAGAATGACTAAAAATGTAAATTTATCGCTGGGAAAGGGCCGAGAGAGCAAGGAAAACAAGTTGCCTTTTCTCCTATTCACTTCTTTGCATGGTCCTCTTGCCTATGAATATAATTACTGCACAAACACGCGTTCATAACCGTACGTCCTATAGCATCACTCTAGCAGTAATACTAATGAAATATACGGTTTATATATAAAATAAATTAAGTTATACTTAAAAATTTGCGTATTTCATTTATTTATTATATATATATATATATATATATATATATATATATATATAT